TGAACCATTCCAGGAGCCAGTTGTCTGATCATGATACGTACACCTCTACCCCGACAAGCACTACACTTCTGAACAGCTCCAGACTTTCCACCCTGGCTAAATTAGAAGGTACCAATTAGAGTTATTTAAAAAAAACACATAGTAAATACGTGTAACCCCCGCTTAGCGCTCTTAATTGGTTCCTGAAAAAAAACTAGCATTAAGCAAAATGAGTGTTAAGTGAAAACAAAAGTATTTGATGAGCCAAGATGGCGACCGCAATAGTTTTTAATGACGACCACAAGTGTTAACAAAACTCGCTGAGCACTAAGTGAAAGCATGTATTAACATCAAATGAGCATTATAGCAAAATAGCACTAAGTGAAACAGCGTTAAGTGGGGGTTGTCTGTAGGTATTATACAAAGTCTGATTTTAGTGATGTCACCAGAAACCAATTTTTTTGGTTAAAACCCAACTTACAGTAGAGGCATATTTTATGCCAACTTATTTTAAGCAGCATTACATTTAATAAGAAGCAAGCAACAAAAAATTCTAAAAAAAACAACTTAAAAAAAATATTTTTTTTATATCCATGAAAATAAGAGTCAAACAAAGAACAAAAATTAAAGACAACTTACCCATTACATGCACTACAAAGGACATTCTTGCTAAGCTGTAGTTTAGTTGTCTTTCCATTATATAGATCTTCTAAAGATACTCTAAAATATAAAACAAGTTTTCCAGTGTTAGCAATGAATGATGATTACAGGCATGTCATTTTTAACAGTACAGGACAAAGAAACAAACACCTTAGATAACACCCATCTGTATATGTAGGCACAGAATAGATAGTCTTTAGAGAAGTACAAGGAGACAGGGTAACAACAAAAACTATTAAAAAGCCACTATTAGAACATAACAATGCTGAGGGGTTTTTAAAATGGATGTTAGACATATCTGGAAGTCAGTTTAGAGTTTAGCAAAAACCTCAATAGAAACTATGCTCCTGAAGATGTACCTATGAGAAGGATGTTTTATTTAGGCAGCAGAAGTCAGAACTAAGGCTAGCTGTTAGTGACTGATAGAAATCAGATCAGTAATATCTTCTGAAGAGAAAAATTAAATGTCAGGTGGCCCCAACACAAGAAAGACTGGTTTCAAGGCATTCCCTACTACTAATAGTACCCATGCTTTCCTTGGGAGTTCATGCTGCCTACTGATTTAGAACACTTTGGGCATGCCTACATGTCGCCCCGTGGCAACTTTGTTACTGCACCGTGCTTTCAAAATGAAATATGGAAGACAGAGCAGTAACTGCCCATATTGCACCATGCATGCAGTTAGTTTTTGCTGCTCCTTCGCTGTAACAGCCCACTAAAATAGCATTTGCCACTACAGCAAAGTAGCTGCCAGTCACATAAGCTCATGTGATCGCTATATTGCCATAGCAAGCCGTAAGGTGATGCAGTGCATTGCTATGGCAAAACAGAGCTGCAACTAAGTGTATAGGTTAAAAAACAGTTGTATAAGAGGTGAGAATGCCCAATAGCTGCTGCGTTTGTTTTTTTTTTTGTTTTTTGTTTTTTTAAATAAGCTGCCCCCACCCCTTTCTACTCCAGCAGTCAATGTTTTTTCCAGTATTTGGAAAAAGTCATCTTTAGGTTATCTCAAAAATTAACAACTTTGTTATTTGTACACTGAAGCTACCAAAAAGTAAGAGTTTAACATCTGTAGTCTAGAATTTTCTGAAAACTTTTTGGGGAAATTAAGTCAGTCAACAGTAAATTCAACTCAATGCATCTAATTTTGCACTAGAAAACATTGCTTAGTGTCAATGTTCAGGAATAACTAAGCAAATATGTTCTCATAACATTTTACCAAACACAAACCCCTCCAAAATTAGAAGTGTCCTGAAAGGGTAGTGTATATGGGTTAAAATTTCAAATTTACAGTTTGGTCTTTGATGTCCAGTGCTTAAACTTCGAAATGTTATTAGGTCTTGTGCACTGACTGACTTAAATAACAGAAATCCATTTGATTATAAACAAGCCTGAACTTGTTCAATGGGAGGCAACAACCTTCAACCCTAATAGTAACCTAGCAGCATGTAATCATTGCCTAACCTGAATGTTTTATTTGAACCCAGACATTTTGTCTAACCCTCTTACATGTGAAAATTACCCTTCCCCCCCCAAATCAATGTATGCACTGATCTGTATTTGGATGTGCAGTACTAATTTCTAGACAAGGCAGGTACACAAACAAACAACCAACAGCAAAAATGCATCCCAGACTTTGCTAAATTCTCCTGCACTCTTGGCAAGGAGTGGCTCAGCCTGAAGAGCAGCAAAAGGGGAGGTCAGAGAAAGCTACTGCTCAGGCTGCAGATGTCAGCTGCTTACGCAAAATGGTGATAAAAGGCTGCTAAAACTAATGTGCAATTTGTATCTTCTACCCTGCAAAATTAGTGCACTTTTTTCACATAGGTCCTAAGCAAAAGGCATAAATGCCTAATGAAGCTGCTCCATGCATGCCTCTGCTTTTCAAAAAAGATTCAACTAGTAGAAAATACTAAACTACATTTCATGCATTTTGAGGGTCTGAACATCCAAGAAATGTAAATAACAACTAAAGAAAAATAAATTAACAGTGAACACGAGACTAGAACTCTTATGAAAAAGTAGGTCAAGTTCACTGCCTTCCGGGCAATGTACGACCAGCGTGTCACAATATTAAGATGCTCAGAAGCTGCAGAATCACCAATCTATGGATTAACCAAGAAAATAAAAATCTGTATCTTCCTGACAGAAGTTGAGGCAAAGTGGAAAGAAAGCAGGGGAGGGGAAGCAATTTTTCACATTTATTTTCATAGACAATTTCTAGGTTCAAATATACTAAGTTACTATTAGGATTACCTCCCACTGAACAAATTCAGTCAAGTTTAGAATCAAATCACTTTCTACTATTTCAGTAAATCAATAATTCACAAGATTTACACTTCATTATTATTTTTAAAATACAATGTAAATACCAGAAAAATCAAATATTAATCTTTAAAACTTGAAATGTCAGTCATATACACTGCCCTTTCAGGAAATTATTGACGACAACTCCCTTCAAAACAAATCAGGCAAATCTGTTTCTGTGAACTTTTGCCAAGATCTAGAAGGGAATATTCAAGGCCAGAAGTGAGTCTACGTATTTATTACACTCACACAATAAAGAGCAATGCTTTTTATGAAAGCCAAATGTCTCCAATTATCAAAGCAGCTCCTCCTTCAGCCTTTTAGAGGCTGAAGCAAGCATCACAGTAGCAAGATACTCACTTAAGTGGATGCATCATATCTTCTCCTCTTCTTCTGCCATTGCGACTTCTACTCTGACCACCCATGAAATTGAACAATCCACCACCAAAAATGTGGGAGAAAATATCGTCCATTCCACCACTTCCGCCACTACCTTCTCGAAGCCCCTGTTCTCCATACCGGTCATACAACTCGCGTTTCTCTGGATTCGATAAAACTTCATAGGCAAAGCTTATTTCTTTGAACTAAAAAAGGAACAGTGAGAAAGTGCCATGTTACTTTTACATGCATAGATAGATCTTTTCCCAATACCTTTACCAAGACGGTGCTAGTACACAATTCAGAGTTTAGCTCTGAGCAAGGGCGTGGACACATATCCCAAAGCATTTGGTCACCACGCCATTTCAGAGCTTGTATTCCGAGTTCTAAAACATGCAGACTTACTATGTGTTCGCTCTGAACATCACACTTAAATTTATTTCAATACATCTATCAAAGCTAAAATTATTTTACTTTGATTACACTGGCTGAATTGTCTACAAAATCCCCACACTTAACATTTTCAATGAAATGATATAATCCTGGAAAGGCAACCATTTTGCAGATCTTACCACCACCCTTCAAATCTCTCCCACCTCCAAGTAGTGCCTCAAAGTATTACCAGCTGATGTCACCTCAACAAGCAGTGAGCAGAGGCCTTTTTCATACTGTACAGTAACTTTGCTTCACTATCATCTTGTCTTACCGCCTTTGTCTCCATTCTGTCGCAACTAAAACAGGTCTCTCTACGGAACAGACTGTAAAAAAAATAAATCTATAAAGCTTCTAAAGTAGCGGGTCTCAGAAACCCGTGTACTTCCATCACATCTAGAAGCATAAAAAAAAAACAAACCAACCAAAAAAACAACAACTTAGTTTTAAACATCATCATCTTACTTTGTCCCCTGCATTTGGATTCTTGTCAGGATGATATTCCTTGGCCAGTTTTCTGTAGGCCTAATTGGGAGTGGAAAAATGACACAAGCTATTAGTGTGACCATTTCTCATTTCAAGCTTATTTAGGTCAACAAATCTCTAGTCTTCAAAGACAGATTTAAATATTGCTTCCTGGAGGTAGGTAAACACTTCCCACGGGTACTGACAGTGCTTCTCAAACTTTTTTGTACTGGAACCCATTTGTAAACATCAGTGGCCAGTCCTGACCCAGTGCCCCTCACTCCTGACCCACTGCTCCCCTGCCCTCCAGTATATGGGGCAGGAGTGGGTGCATGTGGGACATGGTAGATGCTTGGGCCCCTCCTCATACGCTGGAACCTTGCCAGATTGCAAGGGAAAAGCCATGGCTCCCGTGTTTTTCTCCATTTTTAAAAGTTTATTCACGACCCTTTCAAATATTCTTGTGACCCACTTTGAGAAACGGTGGATTAAAACAAACAGAAGTTTAGCCTGTTTATACAACCAAAGTTATATATGAGAATTTGATGATTTAATTTTACTGAATGCAGGATTAACTATGGTTTAAAATTGGCCCCCATCATTATTAGGGGTCTACCTAATTCTTGGTTTTCATGGAATCCACAAAAAACAGCACTGTTCAAGAACAGCAGGAAATTCTGCATTGGCACAATTTCCCATGAAATCAACCTAAAAAGCCCCACTGTATTATTTATATATACACTGTTTTAGAATGTCCCAATGCCTTCCCCAATACAAAGACAACGCAACAATCACTGCAGACATAAATCAGTGACTGAGAGTTACTGTCTGCTACTGACATACACGAAGTAAAGACACCAATCAGTGAAATGAATATGCCTCTCTGTCAATCAGCTGCGAGGGGTGGGGCTGCTGGGAAATGCCCACAAAATGGCCTTTGTGCTGCGACCAAGCCACGAAAATTGCTTTGTCTTGCCGCGAATTAAGTAGACTGCTATGCATTAGAATTTAAATCACCATCCTTGTTGATTCTAGTTTACATATTACACTGAAATTAAACTCAGTCAACAATATTCAGTACTGACACACAACCATGTAATTATTTCTGAATACGAACAGCTCATAAGCATCATTAGTTAGAGGTTACAGATTCACATTTTATCACTTATTAAACGATCATGTATGCAAGTTATGTCCCAATTTGTCACTGTCTTTAAGAGTCCATCAATGTTTACAAAATGGCTGCTTCAGCTTCCCAGTCAACACCATCTTCAGTTTCTCCCTCCCTCCCTCACCACATAACACCCACAGAAGATTTAGCCTCACTCTGAATTAAGTGTATATTAAATGTATGGAAGTATGTGGGCCTTCCCACCTAGATCAATTCCTGATTGGAAACAGCAGTAGCAGGAGGAAGTCATGTCAAAAATAAGACATTTTCAAATGGCTTCTTTCCTTTTGAACCACGTTTCGAGTGGCATTATTTTCTCTATACTATTTAGTCATCACTTTGCATGCCCTACCACTACCATTTTAGGGGAGTGAGGTAAAGTTTTGTTAAGAAAGTTTTCAATCAATTATTAGTTACTTGAAAAAGCCCTTCACCATAAACTACAAGTTAAATGCCTGAAGGGTAGAGACAAGGCTCAGAAATTTGGGCATCCTTGACTTTTTCAGCATATTCTAAACTCCCCCCTCATCCTCCCAAAAGACAAGAAAAAGCAAGGCATTTCAAGGGGGTTTATATACTGTTGAATATAACGGTAAATCATTTATCAACTTGAATGGTACTTCCCATCATCATTCTAAGAGCTGCTATGTTCAAATGTGTGCTATATATTATGGGGTCAACTACCGATTTCCCATTTTACAGGACTGCATTCAAGTCTCTAGAGTTTAGAGCATTTAGATTAAACTGTTTCTCTAAACTACTACCTCTCAATTGTATTCATTTTTATTTAAGAAAAGAAAGAAAAACCATAGCTCCTTAGAGCTTCCATCTTCCTCCATTTTGTGTAGAGTTGCCCTGTTACTCTATAGTTCTATTTTTATTAGTTTGCTACACTATTGGGGATTTATGCATGCAAAAAGGGCAAAATAAAGCAGATAAAAACAAAACAGAGAGATGGATTTATAGAACAAGAATTTCAGAATCCACCGCAGGAGCCAGCAATGGCAGAATCCCACAGCCTTGGGGACGTTACACAAGGAAGTTAACAGGTATACTAGCAACCCCCCCAGAACAGACACACTTACTGTGGGGTTAAGCACAAGGGTTTTTCCCTCCCCCACAACTTCATTTAAATAAACAGAGTTACTTTAGTGCCATTTCTCACTTCTAGAACCAGTGCCTGCATTAGTATTTTATTAGGAGATGAGTGAATAAGCTGGATCAGCGCAATATTCGGAGTTTGCGTTGTCCCATCAGCATCACGATAAATCCGCAGCGAGTCCATTTTCTTTCACTCGTCTCTGTGCTGCTGTACAAAGCTGCCACCAGAACAGACCGGCACGCACGTGAAGGCACAACTGCATTTAAAAACAAACTTGCAGGCACGTTTCTAAGGTCCACACGCAGCCCCGAATCTGAGTGACCCCTCGGCAAACAGGTGCGGGGAGCTGGCAACTTCATCCCGAGTTCTGGCAAAAGCTGAGCCAGGCTCGGAGCCAGCCCGGGTCGCTGGTCAGAGAAGAGCTGCACCTCCACGGCGGGGAGGGGCCTCCGGCCGCCCTTTCCCTGCCTGTCGCTCCCGGTTCTGACCGACGACCGACTTCCGCTGACCCTCCCCCCCCCCATGGCGGGATCCAAAGACCTGGCCCCGCGCAGCCGCCAGGGCCCAGCGCCACGAGCAAGCAGCGGCCATGAGCTGAGCCGGCTCCGGGCCCGGCACCACGGGTGCTGGAGGGGGCCGCCGGGCTCCCCGCGGTCTCTTTGTTCCCGGCCCCACCAGCCGCAC